GATGGTTTGAAAGAGGAGTGAAAGAAGCCATCTATGTCCACTGTGAGCGACCATCTTTGAACAGAGGCGGGGGTTTACGACACCAACTCTCTGCCATCTATAATCCAGTTTTGAGATCCCTTCCCAGACGCCTTAACGCCCACTCACATCCTGGGCCATCTGACCTCAGGAATTCGCATGATAAGGTGGGGCCAGGTTTCACAATGAACACACCCGAAACTCTGGCTGATTGGGACCCACACCCAGTTTCACACCTTGGCTCAGGCGATTAGAGGATCATCAGGGGGTCCTTTTGTCCCTCTGTGGGGGGTCACTCCCACTAGGTTTATATCTGGGACTCTCCACCATTTGACCTTAGAACTGAAGAAGCTTCTCGGATGAGAGGTGAAACGTCTTCAAGCAACTTAAAGAAGTCCAGACGCTTTTCTTTGCAAGCTCCTTTGACTCCAGGTAAATACACCTTTCACGCGGAGGAATGATTACCAACGGCTGGTCAGGTAGTCAGTTGCAGGTGGGCCAGCAACAGCGAAGAGGGACTCTTGTCCTCTCCTCTCTTCCTTTCCTCCCTTTATTTCTCGTTGGTACATGGGGTTCTGCCTGGCCCGAAAGCCGTCGCCAGTCCCCTTCAAGGCCTTCCCCAAACTGCAGCACTATTCATACTTCCTCATCCCTCATCACCCATCGTTACCAAGGAAGTGGTCCCTGATAGTGAATAATAATTGTAAAAAATAAAGTTGCCTACTTTGTGGATTTCACCTATCGCGGGTTATTTTTAGAACGTAACTCCCACAGTAAACAAGGAATCACTGTAATTATTTCTTTGTCACCTGATTGCTAAATGACAATTGAAAAAAACAAGAATAAGCAAAAACACAAACTAAAAATTTGCAATTTTTTTTTTACTTAAACAAGACTTTTTGTTCTTGGTTCCAGACCAAGTTTCCTAAACAAAAACACTCCAATAATGTGTGATTTTAACCAAGGCTACATTCAGTTCAATTCAGTTTATACAGCATCAAATCACAATAACTGCCTCAAGACACTAAATATTGTAAGAATAAGAAGAATGGAAAGAAAAGCGTCTGTACTTCTTTAAGTTGCTTGAAGACGTTTCACCTCTCATCCAGAAGCTTCTTCATTCTAAGGGTCAAATGGTGGAGAGTCCCAGATTTAAACTAGTGGGAGTGTCCCACCGAGAGGGACAAAAGGACCCCCTAATGATCCTCTACCTAATCACATGAGCCCAAGGTGTGAAAACGGGTGTGGTCACAATCAGCCAGGGTTTCGGGCGTATGTGAGGTGCTTTCGTGATATTTAATGGATCGGATTACATTTTTTATTTTTCTCCGATATCCGATCCAGTAATTTAGGTCAGTATCGGACCGATACCGATACGTAATATCGGATCGGTCCATCTCTAGTTTGGTCTCTCCAATGTAGAGGTCTGGGCATTCCTCACTACACTGTACAGAATACACATTGTTAATTTTGTGTTTAGGAGTCTTTTCTTTGGGATGGACCAGTTTTTGTCTGTGTGTGTTGCTGTGTCTGAAGTACACTGGGATGTCATGCTTGGAGAAGACTCTCCTGAGTTTTTCTGATACACCGGCTACCATCCTAGCACCTCTTATGGGGAACACCCCACATCCCATCAATCAGCCAAAATGTGTGCGCGATCCAACGTGAGGCACACATGAAGCGGTTCAAAGATAAAATAGCAGAATTGTTACGAGAATTTGAGCTATGATTTCAGATTTTTGGTGAACTGGAGAAAGACTTCAAAGTGTTTTGCTCGCCGTCCACCTTGAATCCCTCTGATCTGCCTGTCAGCATCCACCTTGAAATAATAGACTTGCAGTGTGACCCGGATTTGAAGGGCACATTTGCCGCAGCTAGCTTGAACACATTTTATCAGAATCTCTTGCCAAGTTACCCCAACTTGACAGCCCTTGCATGTTCAGAACCACATATGTTTGTGAGCAAGTTTTCTCTGTAATGAACATAAATAAAACAAAACTGCGCTCAAGGCTCACGCACAAGCACTTGAATCACATCACAAGTTGGCTGCTGCTCCGGATGTGACGCCTGATATTGATGAGCTGGTGAAAGCTAAAAGATGCCAGATATCAGGAGTCAAACTATGCAACCCCACTTTAAGTGGTGCATGAGACATGCTGATATAGCTCTGTGATCTGAGATATACTTCTGTGATGAAAATACTGTCCTCAGGCTCCAGCTTTATTTTTTATGTTGATCGCATTAAAACAAAGAAATCAATCTGAAGTTGTTTTTAAGCTATATATACCATGATTTTACCAGTCGGGCCCACTTGGGAATAGATTTTTCTCCACGTGCCCTGTAAGAATAGATTATCGTAGTATTTAGATTTAGTTGTATTAACCATAGTAAACCATTATATTCATTATTTATTTAAGTAGGTTGCAGGTCAAGCTACTAAACATTCACAGATAGAGCACACACACATAGATGGGAGAATAGGTCAGAAGAGTATGTGAGAAGCAGAGGCGACATTAAGTTGCCGTTAGTAGGATAAGGAGTTGGTAAGCCAGAGCAAGGAGAACATATTGTGCAAAGAAGTGGGCTGCAAGGTCACGAGATTGGGAGGCAGGAGATAGAGAGGGGGTTAGCAGGCATCTAGTTTTGAGAGACAAAGGTTGTTGATGTCTATGTTGTAAAATCATTAAGCTGTTTTATGTCACATTATACCTCTGATTAAAGATTGCGGAATCATTATAGTGTTTTATGATGCATTATACTGCTGATTTATAAGAAATGCTGTCTGTGTAGAATCATGGCCTTATTTCTGTCATTAGGGAGAACAAAACTATACTGCACAGGAAACCAAGGTCGTAACTGAAGCTCACTGAGAGGGAGAGAAAGAATATGAATGTTTAGGTTTTATGACTTTGGGGGTGGATGGGAAGCTATAAGAATGTGTGAAATGGTCAGACACTTCGAGATCTGTCGGACCCCCTCCCGTGTATATCTCCTGGACATTTGTATTGCTCAAAGTGTTTGTATGGAACAAAGAGAATTGTATTGATTACAGTGATTATTGACTGAGCATTAAACACCGTTGTTCTTCCTTCAGCCTGAAGATCAAAGAATTGTTTTGTTTTTTTACAGGCCCCTGAACTAAAATGAGTTTGACACCCCTGGTCTATACCAAAATTATTATTATTTTTAATTATGTTGATAAATACCTGTCTTACATGTGTCTTTATTAATTGTAGTCCAGCAGTAACAGTCTTAACCTATTGTGATAACAAGCTATAGTCTGCTACAATCTGCTGGTCATGTTTCAGAGCTGGATATTTCAATAGTAACCCATATAAATGACTAATACGTGCACTACTTTGAAGCTTTACAAGGATGTTGTGGTTGCAGAGCCTGGAATGGTGAAGTTTCAGGAACAGAAAGTGTCCACTTTGAGTCAGACTGATATTTTATTTTTTTAATTCTTTTTTTATTCTGTGGTTTTGTTATGCACACCATGTCTCACCACCGATGATTCATTTTGCATTCTAAGCTCTTTTAACTTCCCTAAATCTGCCAAGTTTCCAAATATACATTTTTGGCAAATATATAGTTTTACCAACATGAAGCACATTTTTAGAAAGTAGAAGTTCTTATTTTTTATCTGAGGTGTCATATACGCAGCGACTATGACATAAGTGTTCCCATTTGGGCATTCGAAATCAGCAAAATTCCAAAACTATACCTGTAAAAATAAGTGGGCCAATGGCAGTGGATGTTAAAAAGTTAACTGTAGTGTGAGAACTGAAAAAGCTTACCTTAGAAATATCAGGTGCTCTTAATTGATTGCATGTCTTAACACTGCAGTCTTTCATCAAATTAATTAAATGATAGTATATTTTGTAATATTCTGAAAAGATTGTTATTAACCCTATGAGGTCTTCCATCATTGTTGATGAGCCCAAAAACCAATATGATTACTAAGTCATATACTATATTTTCAGAGAATAGTGACCTTTTTTTTCTTTTTGAAGAAACTGAAAGTGTTATAATATTGTATTGTATACTCTCTCCCTGGTTGTGAATATATAATGAGATTAAAGAATAAAACATAATAATAATAATGATAATAATGATAATAATAATAATAATAATAATAATAATAATAATAATAGTAATAATAATAATAACAATAATAAATAAAAATATACTGATCGGATTGTCACTGACCTTAATAGGTTAAACTGCAGTAGTAAGCAAGGTGAAAGCAGATGTAGCAGAAATCATAGTTTGTCAGGGTTTTTTTTAATGTAAAATAAATAAAAAGTAAGCAAAAATAATTGAGAATTAAGATTAGCAGCTCATGGTTGTTTGCAATTTTGGCAATTCCAGGCTTCAGTTCCAGTTTAATTTATTAATAAGATTCTTTAATCCCATTAGTATCCTCTTCAGCACAGAGATGTTGACTCAATACAGGTTGTAGCCTCATTACACAGAGAAGCCTGTGCTTCCCTGAGCTTTACTCTATACTGTAGACTACATCAGCTGTTAATGCAATGGAATTAACAGCTGGATTTCTGAACAAGCATGGCATTATATCATAGTAATACATCACTGTAAATGCCCACTTTTTAAAGTTTAACTTTTTTCATTAATCATAAAAATGTTCACTATAAAAAAAAAAGCTAACGACTACAACCTGCAAAGGTATATATTATTTTTGAGTGTCTTTTTAAAGCAACGTTTCAAAATTAGATTTTCATACTAACATATGATGAAAACGTAATTTCTACTGGATTTGTTGTTTTAAACATGAATTTAGCTTTCAAATCAGTGGGCAGTTTATTCCACTTTTATTATATAGTTAAAAATAAATAAATGAATGAAAAATCAACAGTTGAATGAAAAAAACGAAATAATCGTCTAAGGAAGACTGAAAAGGGGAAATGAGAGCCAGTAAACTAACAATGCATACAGAAAGCGGGAGGGGTCGTACAAAACGCCAGTTTGATGTTCTTAGTTGTGTCATTTGTCCAAGTGGTTTTAAGGCTGTGGAGCAACTTATCAGGAAGCAAACCGGCAAATTCTGTGTTTGTTGTGAGTGAGTTTTTCTAAAGAAAACAGAAGAAGACTGTGTCAGTGTTGGTCCAGTCTCAGTTTCTCTAAAAATGCTGCAGCTGCTTCTATTGCTGCTGCTGTCATCCACAGTAAGTCACACTTCTAGTCGATAAATTTAAAAAAGTATTATATGTAGTATTTTTTGTTGTTTGTTTACCATGTAAATAGACTTTAAGAATTTGTGCTCCTATTTGCAAAATCAGGCTGACAGCCAGAGTCAGCGAGTGTCGGGCTACAAGAAGGCAAATGCATGCGTGTGCCAGCTAAACTCCACCATGTGGGTGTTCCCTGCTCCGAAGTTTAAGTACGTGTTGGAGGAAGTTCACACCTGTGAAGAATCTCTGAATAACCTACAAGAAGAGGTAAGAACTCATCTATATGCTTTATTGTACTGAAGTAAGCTCTCAGGAACTAACGTTGTACTATTAAACAACTAAAATACCAGTAAAAATGAATCAATAATCAAGAAAACATTATTTAATAATTCATAAATTATTATTATCATAATGAATACTAAGTATGGGTATAATCAATCAATTGATATTTCATTATTTAAAGATAAACACTATATCAAAGTTTTTTTCATAACATTCATATATTATTTTATATGCTGCTTGCAAAAGACTTGTCTTTGAAAATAAAATAAAAAGCTTGGCTTCACTGGCCTTTCTTACATATATCTTATCAGTTGGGGATTCAAATGTTTTAAATTATTGTTGTTATTCTTAATAATATGAGACTACACAGCTGAGGTCCATGATCTCTTATCTTTCAACAGATGGATATCTATATATAATAGAAAATATGTACAGTATTTTATAATATAGGGTAACCACTTTTTCTTTCCTCTCAAAATATTAACTTTTTAAAATTGGGATGTATTTTTTACATAGCTCGTATAGGAAAAAAAGCCATGTCTTTGAACAAAGGATTTTTTTTGTCTGCATTTCTTGCAGCTGACGTTCTCTAGCCAACGTCTCCCTCTGATCCAGGATCAGTTTACCAACTTTACGGCTCGGCTGGAGCCCTACAACTACCTGCACTCCCAGGGCCTGTATACAGAACTGTCCCTGCGCCAGCTGGGCCAGGAGCTCAGCCAGTTACAGGTGGACATCGATGTGGTCCACAGCCAGCTTAACAACTCCGAGACACAGAAACTCTCCAAAGAGGTAGAGCTAAAATAGCAAATGGCAGCAAAATACAACAGAAAGAAATGATTTGATGTTATACTATGTCAGGTCACATGTGACCTGTTGTGATGTAACAGAATTATCAATAGAATAATATTATATCCATTTCTGATAGGCTGATAGACTGCATAAACATGTAAACAAGATGCAAACAATAGACACGCTTAACATGAAGACTGTGAAGGAGAAACTGCGCTACCTAAAGAATAATGTGGAGACCTGCAAGTCAATCCCCAAAGACTTCAGAGGTATGTGTGTGTGTGTGTGTGTGTGTGTGT